GGGTTGTAGGGACAGGGATATAAAGAGAAATGCTGTAAAACTTTTCTGTTTCTGTTTCTCCGAAACAGTTTGAATAAAGCTATTTTTAAATAGTTCCTGAATTATTGATAAACTTGAACACATAACCTCAGAATAGGAGTATATTTATCACAGGCGAATTACAGAATTCCTTCATAAGAATTCATCTTAAGTGGATAACTACAAGACTGCAAAGACTTTTTACCTATATCAAGTCAATTGGAAATCACTTATATTTTCCGTTTTAAGTAGGCTTTCTAATGTATTTAATTTATGTATTTTAGGAAGCCATTCCTTTTTATTTTGTAATATCTTCTGATTTTTTACTAATTCTTTGTTCTTATTTTTGGTTTGAATTACGTTTGAGATTTTTTACTTTGCTCCTTTAGTGTAGTAGTATCTTGCATGTTTGTTTTCTCAAAGCCAAAGCAATCTTTGAATTTACAATCATCTTTTGGTATTAATAGGGGAATGATCTCCTCTACCTTCCCCTAGGCTCTACCTTATACCTTGTCACAGACAGCAAAATTTTCCAGTGCTTCAGTTGTTTATATAAAATGTCATGTATTTGCAGATAACCTACCAACTCTATCCTACATAGGGTAAATAAATCATCACTACTGTATTTAAAATACCAAAAAGTAGGGCATATGTTACATAATATTGTAATAATATTGTTTTGGAAAAAACAAGAGGATCTCTATATTTTCAATAAAAATATGTTTTCCAAAGGTTTTAAACCTGAAGTTTGTTGCATCTTCAGATAGTGGAAGTGGATATATGGAAGGACAGACACATGGTTAATTTCTATTTCTCCCTTGTTTCTTTGTATGCTACTAAAGATTGAGCCCAGAACTTCTTGTATGTCCAGGAAGCATTTTAGAACTGAGCTACATTCCCAATATTTTTTCAATGTATTTATCGTTAATTTTTGGAGAAGTTCATACAATGTGTTTTTGATGACCACCAACACCTCAAGTCTACCCCTGGGGCTGGAACTTTTTGCCTGTCTCCATTCTCCATGCTGAGAGTTTTGTCTGGCCTGAGCTTGTAGGGGTCTTGTCTGTTCTGTTTCAACTGCTGTGAATTCATATGTACAAATTCACAACCTGAACTCATAAGCATAAATCTGTAATTGTAAATTTAGAAGTGTAAGCACTAAATTCATAATGTGTAAACTGTTCAGGTATGCAGAGAGAATACTGTTTCTCTGTAGCCATTCATCATAGCTTAATCTTACAATATTTCTGGGCGCTCCTGCACAATGATGCCTGATTCATGGGAGAAGGGGTATAATATAGATGTCCAATTTTGGAATGAGCATTTTGCAATCTCTTATTCTCTACACCTTAACCAGTTGTTGGTCTCTGTGTTAATCACCATTCACAAAAAACAGAGCCTATAATTGAGTCATTTTAATAATCTGCCTATTTAGCAGAATAATAATAGTAGGTTCTCTTTTACTGTCTACAGGTTGTGGGCACAGTATTGGTGCCAGATATGGATTTTGACTTGTGGTGTGGGCTTTAAATCATTTGTTGGCTATTATCTTCAAATCTTCAGACGTGTGTGCTTCTAGTGGACAAGCATAAAAGATATGAAAGGTTTACCTATATTATAGTAAGGTATTTAGGCTCTATATGTATTAGAATATAAATGCACAGTTTGCATAGCATGTATTTACATGTGTACAAAAGAAGAACATATTCATATAGTCAGAAAAGAAATACCATATATGTAATGGAATAAAAAGTTAATTTTTAGTAAAAATAAAATTATAATAAAATAACAAAAGATTAAAAATATCAAATATGTTTAAATTCATGAGCTCATAATAATATTTAAAAACATTCTGTCCCTATTTTTGAAATGTGGGGAAACTAAGCTATTCCTATCATTCATAAAATCAATAATCTAAAGAAACAAATCCAGCATGTGTTCTCTTTTCTACGCAAATTGTATTACCTAAAAGGGAATGGTTGAGAATTTTTTCTGTATAGAGTTATTCTAAGTAGAAAATGCATTAAAATCTGAATTATACCACTTTATGCTGTATAAATAGTTAATAGTTCCAATACAGTCTATGAAAAAAACAAAAACAATTGGCTTATGAACTCTTTGTGAAAGAGAAACATCGCCTACAGAATATACTTGCTCAAAATAGAAATAGGTATAAGTTCAAGTTTCTATTTCTGATTAAAATTACCAAAATGCTACAGGGGACCAATACCATCTAAAAAGACAATGTGAGAACACAACCAGAAAACTCTTGCTGGCTAGACCTCTCTGGGTCAATTGTTTATCTATCTTTGAGATGAAAATTCCAAAGCAATATAAAAACTGTAGGACCTACACATTAAAAGAGACTGAGGTGGGAGTAATTGTAGGTCTCGGTTTGATAAAACTTGATTTTAAAAATTAAACAGTTGAGGAAGCTCTAATATCTGGATTCTAATTAGAGTTAAGAAATAATTACTTTTTCCTAAATCTATCAACAGTGTCATAATTATGTTTAAAAGTCATTATCTGAACTGTATTTTGAAATGCTTCAATAACATATTCATTTATAAGTAGTTAAATCTGAGAGGACATTGGATAGGTATATATGATAGATATCAAGAAAAGCTTAATTTTAAAAATATTATTACATTTATTATTTATAAATATTATTATATATATATATGTATGTTTTGACTGCATGTGTGTCAGTGTACCATATGAATACCTAGTATCACTGAGGACCAGAAAGGAACATTGAATCCCCTCAAACTGGAGTTAAGATGGTTGTGAGCAGCCATGTAAGTACTGAAAATCAAACCTAGGTCCTCTGGTAAAGCAACCAATCCTTTAACACCTGAGCCATCACTCCTTCCCTACATGAGTAGTTGGATAATAGTTAGAAATAAGCCTCTCTACTTTTGCATGATTAATGTCATGCAATAAACTGAAGATAAAGAGAAAAAAAGGAGAACTCAATCCTTCCTCCCTCTCTCCCTCTCTTCCTCCCTCACCCCTCTTTTCCTCCCTCTCTCACTTTCTTGCTTCCTTCCCTTTTCTTTATTCATAACATGTGCTCTCTATGTAGCCCAGAAATCTGTCTTCTCAATCTTTTTGCCTTTAATTTTCAAGACCTGGGGTTCCAAGTGTGTGCCACCATACCCTAATCTAACATTATATTTTACCAACATAACCTCAAATAGATTTTGAATTTAAAAGAAATAGCTACTACATTTAAGTTTCCCTCTTAGATTTGCAACAATGTTTTTTATTGCATAGTTGCTAATAGTTGTAACAATTTTTAAAAAGGGAAAATAACATCCATAAGAATTAGTCCACAATTGAAAAGTCTAGGATACCCTTCTTTTTAATTGTTTCTTCATCTACGTCTTGATCTTTCTCCTCACACCTCCCTTGCCTTCATTAGTTAGGACACAGATCATAACTGATCCAGAAATGGCGTATTTTTCTTTATCACATTTTCAACACAAACATCTATGATTGTTTTAGGTATGCTTTCTGTTCCCTAGAAAGGGCTATAAGATCTTTGGAAATTCAGATTTTCACAAATGAAACTACAAACAGTCCATGTAATCACAGATCTTCACCCCATACAGTACTCAGTCTTGTTCCTAGACAAATATTTTCACTTGCTTAGTACCCCTAAGTAATGTCTTTTCCACGTCCCCAGAATGTGACACTCCTTTTACCTAGCTCATCTCCCTCCATGCCCTGAATCATATACCCTGGCCTTTAAATGTGTGTGTGTTTCACCCTCATTTTCTTCAAGTGCATAGCTGCCACTTACCTGCCATTTCACTTTACAGATCCAGTGAACCTGAGATCAAGTATGGACCAAAGTACTTAATATGTATTATAAAATAGATATGTGATAAAGTCATATGACTTTTGCCTGCCAGAGATAGGAACCATTTTTTTGTTTGGTGTTTTTACTCTGTACATTCTATCCACCCCAGTAGCTTCATAAGTTATTATATCCAGTGTTTTTGTTTAAATAACTTTTATTTAATAATGACCCCAAAGCTCAATAGCAGTACTGGCAATTGAAATGTCAGAGAAACCATATTATTCTTTCTATAAATGTAAAGGTGAAAATTCTCAATAGGGAAATAAAAAATAGAGCATGTTAACATCAACAGTCAAATATAATAGAAAAATAGTGCATTTACAGTTTAAAGCTCTCTGAGATTTTAGACACCTTGGGTGCAAGACTGTGTTGTAGATGAATCCATTGGGATCGGGCTCCACAACTTTGAATTTTGGTTGCTTCTGATTTTCTATAGTGGTCACTTTTGCAAAGAGAAATTTCTCTGATGATTGCTGAGCGCTATCATGAGGATTAGCTTTCATTGTACCAGAAAGCAATCTGCAAGTTTCCAAAGGATTTAGGCAACCAAGAGTCCTACCCAACTATGATGCCTTGAACTGCATAAATGGTTAGCATAGCATCACAACCCTAAGAGTGCATTCGTGGCACTTTGATAGTAACCAATAGCTCTGTAACTGGACGTAAGAACCATTCAAAAGGAAGGAAGACATACTTAGTATTAGAACCCGAGATAACTAACTGCTCATTGGTAGTACAGTCATGAATATGGGAGGAAAATATATCACCACGACTTTACTAGACCAATATAATCCCTAGAAACAATGTAACCATTTGTCTTTATATCCACAGGTAAATGAAATCCTTTTCTTATACTCACATAGACTTCAGCCAATGGCTTCCCTCAATACATTCTGACATAAAAAATAATCCTTTGCTATCTTTAATTCTGGCATAGAATCCAGCCAATGTCCTTGGCTTAGTCTTATCTCTAGATCATTACAGTTCCTATCGGATGCTTTCAAACAGCTCTAAGCGAACTCTTTTCGCCTTTGTCTGCATTCCACATTTGTCTTATATATCCATACCATTCCCTCATATTTAGTCCCATTCCCAGATGCACACACGTGTATCTTACCAGATGTCTTCCTGAGTCATATGCCCTAAAGGTCTTGTCACCAGGTGAAAACTTTGTACTGCTGGCAAAGCGAAAAGCCACACCCCTGAAACACAAATAAATATAAAGCAACTTGTAAATTACTGTTATTTCTTGACAGCCGTACCTTTTAAAACTTAGAACTTAATTTTCCGAAAGACTCCCTGTGTTGTTTTTAGTAGTTGGTGAAAATTGTATAATCTGCTATTTCCAGTGCTCCCCTGGGTACCAGGAAGCTTAGAGTTAAATTAATGTTCAACCACAATTAGCACACCTACCAAAGAGGATATTGCTTTTACTTCTTCTTTGTGAAATTCCTTTCTTTTTAAATTTCTAGTTTTATTTTTAGGTTTATTATAAACCATCCCCGATCCAATTCAAAGTGTTCAAGCTGTGATTATAAATGAAATTTTAAAACCTGGGTTGGAGAAAAGGATTTTCCATGCAAGATCTTTTCTGAAGTATCAGTTTATGGCCAGAGATAAATACCACCAATTCTATAGAAAGTCACAAACTGAACAAGCTATTGACCCATCCTGCTTATCAGAGAGGCTCTTGGTTAGCACACTTTGCCTTTAAATCAGAAGTTTCTCACTTACAGTGTCTACTACAATCCTGAAAGTGCTTCCATGGACTCCTAAACAAATAATCTAATAGAAGCTTTTAAAATCCATGAGCTTCCTTTAGAAGCAATGGGGCCAGAGGAACAATCAAGCAACAAAACATTTGAGCACTCATGTATGTATTCACAATGCATCACATTTTCCAAACACCTTATGCCTGTGTTAGACACTATGATGAAGTTAAGAACTCAAATCCCCAACTCCAAAGAGGTCCCAAAAGTTATATCTTTCTTACTTTTACAATCAAATAACTATTTATCATGTGTTTTACTTATTAGATAATTAGCTAGGGGTGGTTTTGCAACTACTTTTTTAACTTCTTACAAAGGGTTTTTTTTTCTTCTTGTTATGATATCCTGGGTCTTTCATAGGAGGAGTGAAGGGAGGTGAAGCTGTGATCAAGAAATATTATGTGAGAGAAGAATCTATTTTCAATAAAAAAGAAAGGAAATTAATAACCAGAAAAATAAATAAAAATAAAATGAACATTTTAAACAAACACACGAATGGAGGCTTTCCTGGAATTTGTTTTTCTAGTCTCCATCAAGAGCCTGGACAACTGGAAAACAGGTCTGGAATCTACACCCCTAAAGGTGCCTCTCGAGTACTGTCATTTGCTAGTCTTATAAATTATAGTCTTTCCATGCCCTGGTGAAGCCCTTGGATTCTGAGAAAACTTGGAGGTTTAGATCATACTCAGAAACAATGAGAGAAACTGGGATTCCTGTTTTATTACCCATGATTCTTCTTGGCATTCAGTAGAATGCAAACTTAACTCGGATTATGGCCTCTCTGGTCATGACATGCAAAGAGCAGAAAGCAACATCAAACAGTATCTTGGGATTCTGTGTCTTGGTGTCACCAGCCTGGCTGGCTTGATTTCCCTGAAAGGGCATACACACTTTCAGGATGTTTCATTTAGCATCATTACACTTTCCCAGCAACCTCATTTTACTACAGGGATTGCAAAAGACTCTTTTCTCTGATAAGTCTGAGGCAGGATGAAAAGACATCAAGTAGCTTTACATCAGTCTTTGGAGAACTAAGAGAAGTGCTCCCGGCAGTTGGCCTGTGCTGTTTTCTGGACAGTGTCAGACATTTGACAAACTTCATATGGAAAAGTTCCAAAGTTACTTTCTTTTCAGGGGCAGGGAGGGGGAGAAAGAGCTGATCCACACAGCATCTATGCACTTTTTAAACAATCTGATATGAATTAATTGTTGGGATGTGAAAATGAGTTTATGTACATAGGGTGTTCCTGGGAGGCAGAAGATAAGTCTACAGGAGAAAAGCAGCTGTAACCTGGTTCTGTTTACTATTTTGATTGACGGTCAGAGTCTCCTGAAAACCATTGATGTTGTTTAGCAGAATGGCTCCTTCGAAACTTTGTCTTTTCTTTGATAAAAGAAAGAGAACTGACTTGATGACGGATTCTAAAAACAGGGATATCTCTATAATAGATTACTTAACACCTTTCTCAAAGAGACCTCATGAACCCACACCCATTCAGCACTTTCGATGTATGAGAAGCAGTCATCCAGTGTCATGAAGACTACTTTGTGACAGGATTTACAACTACAATAACTTTATTAGTTTCACAGAGATGCTATAATGAATTGCCTCAAACTTAGCTCCTTTAAATACCAGAAATGTATTTTCATGGCTATGGAAGCCAGAAGTTCAAAGTTAAGGTTGATGGAGGAAGGTCATTGGCTAATAAAGGAACTGCCTTGGCCCATTTTATTGGTTAGGACATAGGTAGGAGGAGTAAACAGAACAGGACGCTGGGAGGAAAAGGAAGTGAGCTCAGAGTCTCCACAGCTCTCCTCTCTGGAGCAGACACCTGAGAGAGAAGCCATGCCCTGCTCCTGGGATGAAGCTCCGACCCAGGATGGACATAGGCTAGAATCTTCCTGGTAAGTGCACCTTGGGGTGCTACACACAGATGATTAGAAATGGGCTAAATTAATATGTGAGAATTAGCCTAGAAGAGAATGGGCCAAGCAGTGTTTAAATGAATACAGTTTGTGTGTTGTTATTTCGGGCATAAGCTAGCCGGGCAGGCGGCCGGGGGTGCTGAGAATGCAGCCCCGCTGCCCTTATTACTACATAAGGTGTTGGCAAAGCCTTGAGGTACAGCTTGCTGCTTTTCTATTCCCACTTCTGGATACCATAGGTATACCCGAACCTACAGTTGTACCATGGCAAATTTTGTCAGCAAAATCATCTTTTCTGGGCACTGCCTACAGAAGCAATTGTCCTGGTGGTAAACTCTTGTGAATAGGATCATTTCTTGTTCATTTTTCTAACTTAATTTTAGCACCAAGAGTTATTACTTCTTTTTGTATGTCTGTGTGTTTCTCTGTGTTATGAGGTAATTTTACTATGAATACTAGGTTGGTCTAGAACTCACAATATAGCTCAGCCTGGCCTTCGACTCATAAAGTACCTGTCTTAACCTCCTACATATTTAACTTCTATGTCCCTGCCAGCATACCCTGCATCAATGCTTTTATTTTCTCATTTTATTTAATTCTCACTTTGAGTTTTAAGGGCCAGGACATGGAAACATGTTTATAGTAATGGAACTATTGATCTCAATAAAATTACAACAAAGTTGGTGGGATCTGCTGGAAAGTAGCTGCCAGTGTGTCCATGGTTGACTTTCTTTCTTTCTTTCTTTCTTTCTTTCTTTCTTTCTTTCTTTCTTTTGTCTTTTTGCTTTCAGAAAGAACCAAGTTATAGGATCAGAGCTGAAACTGTAAGCAATGAAGATCATAAGCAAATGAAAAGTGAGAGAATGTTTGGCTTTGGGGTATGCCTGCGGGAAAAGTTTCAGGAAAAAAAATCTGTATAAAGGATAAGGAAATGTTATATAATTATTTCCCATCGATTGCTCTTTGGAGAGAAAAGCCTATTAGTAGCAGTGAAATCCAAGTTGGAGGATTGCTTCAATATCGTGTCATTCCTTTTATAAGGTCTTTGAAATGCTTCTTTCTGTTCTCAGAAAAGAAAGCCATTCAAGAATAGAAAGAATCAACTCTTTTTCAATTTTCACATTTTTGAAGGAAATTATTTTCAGATTATTTTTAAGTTAGTGAAAATGCAGTTGTGCAATGTGAACCAACAGCACCCTTCCCAAATGCCTCCTACTCGGGCATTTCCGCAGCATATGCTTAGCTCCCAGGTGACACAGAAGGTGTGGAAAGGCAGAATTTGGTGCCAAGAAGTTTTAGAAGCTTTTCCTAGGAGAATGAGAAGTGTACCTTGCCTTACACCACCATGAAGCTTATTCTAGAGTTTTGCCTAGAGAACGCAAAGTTTCTTTACTTTGTGTATATATTGCCTGCTAAGGGGTTGGAGTCAACTTAAGACATTCACTGAGGTTTTTGAAAATTTTCTGAACTTCAAGGCACTCAAATCTATTTGATATTCTCTTGTGAAGTTTGTGAGATTATGCACTTACCATTCGTCTCTGACTCCATAAAGAGAGAATACAATGGAACTCTTTACCAATGACCCCTACCACCCACACCACAGTTTTGTGAGCAAATACAGATTTGATAAATGAGTAATAACCATCCAGTTATTGAGAATCAAACATATGTGGATATGTTCTCAGCTATCATTCAGACACCAATGTTTAAGATTAAAACCCAATGTTAAAGGAATAAATTTTATTTTTAAATGCCATTATGAAACAGACGGTATGCCCTGTGACAATCTTCACCTATCAGTATCCTCTATAGGATAGAGGAAGAAATACAGATTGGTGTTTTCTACTAGTTTTCCCCTAAATCTTCCTTTCTGTTGATGCTTCTTCTGGTTCTGAATATCACTACTAGATAATTGGAGAACTTCTCATTCCTTAAAATTGTGGACAACTGGGAGAAAGAACTGGAGGCACAAATCGGTATAGTGGGTGAAAGTCCATTTCTAAATGTTGTTCCATAATGTGGATGCTTCTCTCATGATGGGAAAGAATAGACTCATTAAAAAGTGATTTGATTTTGTTAAAATAAACATCAGTTTTCCCCATTCAATTATTGCACAGGCATGAGCCCATATCCCAGAGCAAGGTCCATATTTAAATATTTTAGGCAACTCAAACACATTAATGGGTTGGGAAAAGCCCACATCCTTCTACAGAACCACATATTTTTGGTAAAAACAGATAACTCATTTGCCAACTCAGAGATTATGTTAAATACCATCCAATATTAAAGTGCCGGATCAGGCCAAAGAAATACAGATGTCAGCTTCTATCATTTAGGTTCCACCAAATCTTCTCTGTTATTGTTAGTTATGTGCCACTTATGCTATCCAAACTCTTCTCTAATTCTTAACCAAATGAAGCAGGCTAGGCTAAGGTTGGGATCTAACATACTTTCTGTGTTAACACAGACACAATAACTTCAGGTTTTATTTTCTGTGATCCTCTGTGTGG